GGGAACGTGGACGGGGAAGGGGCACGGGGAGGGGGAGGGGGAGGAGGAGGAGGAGGAGGAGGTGGAGGAGGAGGAGGAGGAGGAGGAGGAAGAACAGGAGGAGGAGGAGGAAGACGAATACGAACACTAATGTAAAGAAGCAGCGTTATCCCAGCGCGACCCTACCTAGGAGTGGGAACCCCTAGGAAAACAGCATTAGCAGTATCGGTAACGCTAAGCTAAAGCTAAGGTATAACTAATGTAAAGCTAAGCTAAAGCTAAGCTGCAGCTAAGCTACAGCTAAGCTGGCGCTACGCTAAAGCTAAGGTAAAGCTAAGCTAAACATACACTAAAACTAAGCTGGCGCTAAGCTAACGCTAAGCTACCGCTAAGCTAAAGCTAAGCTAACGCTAAGCTAAAACTAAGCTAAATTTAAGATAAAGTTAATGCTAAAGCTAAAGTTAAAGCTATGGGGGTGCGCAACTGGGAGAACCGGGGGGCGGATACTGGGGGAACCGCCCGGGGCGCTTTCCATTGCCCGGCCCCTTTAAGCCCAGAGAGTAAGAACCCTTCTAGGCAGAGCCTAGGTAGGGAACACTAGGAACACGAATACTACGAATACGAGTGATACGAAGAAGAATACTAACACAACGGCGAACACTAATAAGAGTTCTAAGAATACTACGTAATGCCAATACTACTTATACTAGGAAGACTAAGGACGATACTGCTGGACTTTTAGTAGCACTAATAGTACGAACAAGCATACTACGGATAATGATGGTACTTCTAAGAGTTATAATAAGACGAATACTAATAACAAGACGAATAATAGTAGTAGCAAGACGAAGAACAAGACGGACACTAATAAGACTAATAATAATAATACTACTAATACTAATACTAATACTAGTACTAATGATAGTAATACTGATAATATATAATAATAATAATAATAATTAATAATACTAATAATAATAATAATACTAATAATCATAATAATAATACGAGGAGGAGGAGGGAGAGGAGAAGGAAGAGGAGGAGGAGGTGAGGAGGAGGAGGAGGAGGGAGGCGGAGGCGGAGGGGAGGAGGAGGAGGAGGGAGGAGGAGGAGGAGGAGGAGGAGGAGGAGGAGCAGGAGGAGGAGAGTAGGAGGAGGAGGAGAAGGGGAGGAGGAGGAGGGGGAGGAGGAGGAGGAGGAGGAGGAGGAGGGAGGGGGAGGGGGAGGGGGAGGGGGAGGGGGAGGGGGAGGGGGAGGGGGAGGGGAAAGGGGAGGGGGGAGGGGGAGGGGGAGAGGGGGGGAGGGGGAGGGGGAGGGGAAGGGAGGAAGGGGGAAGGGGAAGGGGGAGGGGGAGGGGAAGGGGGAGGAGGAGAAGGAGGAGGAGGGAGGAGGAGGAGGAGGAGAAAAGGAGAAGCGGCACCACAACCAGCAGGCCAGCTCCATCGAGGCGGCCCACGATGCCCCATCTAGACGGAGATTGGAGATGCTTCGGGCTGGACGCGGACTCCGCAAGGCAGGGGGGGCACAGGTGGTGCCGATTCTTTTAGAAATTCTCCTTCGCCCCCCCCCCCGCCGCCGAGGACGACAACGACGGCGGCGCGGACGGCGGCGACGAGGACGATGGACAAGACGATGAAGGTGAAGACGGCGACGGCGACGGCGACGACGGCGGCGGCGGTGGCGGCGGTGGCGGCGGTGACGGCGTCGTGCTGGCCGCAAGGAGATCCAGGAGCTGAAGAGCATGCAGAAGCCGCCGGTCGAGTGCACCGATGTGTGCGCCGCCTGTGCCTTCCTGATAAAGGCACCCTTGGGGGGAAGAGGGGAGGGGGAGGAGGACGGGTGAAGCCGATGTCGTCTGCACCGTCGTCTTGGCGTCTTCGGCAAAGGGGGCGAGGGGGGCGGAGGAGGGAGGAGGAGGAGGATGAGGAGGGGGATAAGAAGGAGCATGAGGAGGAGCAGGAGGAGGAGGACGAGGAGGAGGAGGACGAGGAGGAGGAGGAGGAGGAGGAGGAGGAGGAGGAGGAGAGTGGGGGGGGATGAAGAGATGGTTCTCCTCCTCCTTACCCTCCCCCTCCCTCGTATTTCCTCATTTGCTGCGCCTCCTCCCTCTCCGATCCTTCTCACCCTGCTCCTCATCATCCTCAACCTTCTCGATGATTATCCTCATCGTTAGCAGGAGGATGAGAGTGGGGGAGGGTCGAGGATCGAGGTCTAATGAATAACATAGCACTCCGCAATTGCGGTTAAGAGTGAGGGGGCGGGCGCGGGCTACGCGGGCGCGGGAGTGGAAAGAATTCAAAAACAGCCCGCCGCAGGCGCCGAAGTTTGGCTTGTTCAGTGAACGTAGTTTGGGTCGCGGGTGGGTCGCGGGCTCTCTGCTCTCCACCTCCACCCGGAAGGAATTCAAAAACAGCCCGCCGCAGGCGCCGAAATTTTTATTCATACACTGAACGCGGTTTGGGTCGCGGGTGGGACGCAGGTTCTCCACTTGGAACGAATGCAAACGAAGCCCGCCGCAGGCGCCGAAAATTTTGGGGTGGTCGCGGGGTGGGTCGCGGGTGGATCGCCGGGGGGGTCGCGGGTGGGTCGCGGGTGGGTCGCCGGGGGGGTCTCGGGGTCTCGGGGTGGGTCGCGGGTGGGTCGCGGGGTGGGTCGCGGGGTGGGTCGCTCGCGGGTGGGTCGCGGGGGGTCGGGGTGGGTCGCGGGTGGGTCGCGGGGGGTCGCGGGGTGGTCGCGGGGGGTCGCGGGGTGGGTCGCGGTCGGGGTGGGTCGCGTCGGGGTGGGTCGCGGGGTGGGTCGCGGGGTGGGTCGCGGGTGGGTCGCGGGTGGGTCGCGGGGTGGGTCGCGGGTGGGTCGCGGGGCGAATCGCGGGTGGGACGACGACAACAACAACAACAAACAACAAACAACAATAAACAACAACAACAACAACAACAACAGCAGCAACAACAACAGCAACATTCACATTAACAACAACAACAACAACAACAACAACAACAACAACAACAACACCAACACCACCACCAACAACAACAACAACAACAGCAACAACAACAACAACAGCAACAACAACAACAGCAACGCCAACACCAATTTTAATATCGTTCGCCCTTAGATGCTCGAGATTCCAATAACGCGTATGTCCCAAACCCTCGATACCCGCCTTCTTCGTCTTCGATCGAACCCTTTTCGGGGGGTATACCTTTCTTCCCTGCAGGCAAGGCCCCGGCAGGCGGCGGGGCGGACGCGGACCGTCGGCCTGACCAGCGGCAGCGCTGATCGGCGGGGCGGCCGCGGACCGTCGACCCGACCCCAAGAGGGACTGAAAGGGGACCGACCACGACGACGACGACGACGACGGCGACGACGAGCGAAAGCGAGAGCGAGAGAGAACGACAGCAGGGCCACGAAGGGCACGAAGTAGGCCACGAAGGGCGACAGCGGGGACACGAAGGGAATGCGTATGGGGCCACGAGGAGCGCGAACGAGCGGGGGCCACGAAGTGCAAATAATGCGGGGCCACAGAATGCAATTATGGGGCCACTGAGGGTAGCAACTGGGCCACGTAGGACAGTGAGGGGGACACACATGGCGACAGCGGGGCCACGAAGGGCAGGCACATGGGGCCACAACGGGCGCGACTCCTGGGTGCCTGGGTGTCGGGAGCGCGGCGCTTGGGCAAATTGCAAGAAATCCCAACGCAAGGCCATTCTTCAGAAAGTTGCAAGCAAGTCTCCAGCGCGAGCGCGACTCCAGAGCGCCGGGAGAGCGATTCCTGAATAAATTGTACGGAAATCCCAAGCGAGAGCGCGATTCCTGAATCAAATGCGAGGAAGTTTCGGGCGGGAGCGGGGGTCCTGGCTAAATTGTAAGGAAGTCTCAGGCGGGAGCCGTTGTTGTTGTAACCCGGGGGCCAGGGGGCCATTTTGAGCAGGAAGACTTCCCCTGTCAAAAAACAGGGTGCGAGCGTCGAGGGGCACATTGTGATGGAGAAAATACAAAATGCACTGGCGGGGGGGAGCAGCAATAATTATTCTTCATAATTGAGACTTCAACAATAACCACAACAACAACAATAATCATAGTAATATGAAGAAGAAGAAGAAGAAGAAGGAAAAAAAAAAATAACAACAACAACAACAATAATCCGCATCGCAGAATTCCACTTCAGCCACGCACCCAGGGACAGTGAATGACCGTTCGGTTCAGCCCCTTCACTCTGACTATCAAAAAGTTTCGGAGGAATTCATCGGAAGTTTCTGTCTCTGGAGGACCGTTTCGTGCCCCGTGACAGCGAGAAAGCTGCTGGGCCACGAAAGATTTGCCAGCGTGGACCCCAGGTGTGGTCTGGGGAGCGATCTTGATCCGATCTGGGGTTGCATGTGCGTCTTCTCCGTGACTTCTAGCGGGACGGGGCTCGTCCTCGCACTGGGCCCGCTCTGGGGCTTCGCTGCGATGCAGTAAGCTACGCGCTGAGTTCCGAGTTCGCTTCTTTCGCCAAGTCACCACGCTTTTGCGACGCAGCATGCGCACCGGCTTTCGTGCTCGCCGGGCACCCCTCGCATCCAGAAGGAGTCCTCGTCTTCCGCCTGGTCCCCCTCCTCCCTCCTCCTCCTCCTCCTCCTCCTCCTCCTCCTCCTCCTCTTCCTCCTCCTCCTCCCCCTACTCCTCCTCCTCCGCCTCCGCCTATTCCTCCTCCTTTTCCTGTTCTCCTCTTGTTCCTCCTCCTCCTCCTCCTCCTCCTCCCCTTCCTCATTCTTCCTCTTCCTCCTCCTCCTTTTCCTCCTTCCTCCTTCCTCCTCCTCCTCCTCCTCCTCCTCCTCCTTTTCCCTTTGCAGCGGTGTGCAGAGGAGGGCGCCCATGCCGCGCCCCGCGACCGTCCACGGACTCGACTCGGGACGGAAAGCAGGCAGGGGGCCGAGGAGAGGGGTTGAGACCACCAGGGGCTCTCGCCTGCGAAGAGGTCGCGGCGTCGGGGGATCGGGTCTAGAGGGAGGTCAGGCTTGTCCCCCTACATGGGGATTTTCGACGAAAAATGAAAAATACCCCCAAAAAATACCCCCAGAAGGTCAAACAATAGTTCTAAAAAATAGTTCCCAGACCATCTCTGTATCATTTTTGCATTATTTTTTGGGTATTTTTGTTTTTCGTCGAAAATCACCCTGTAGGGGGACAGGCCCGACTTAAGTCCAGAGGGAGGACGAGCAGCATGGGGGATGAGGCCAACGTTGCGAGGCAGTGACGATGTCGGGGGTCTTGTGGAGAGGGAGGAGGAGGAGCAGGAGGAGGACGAGGAGGAGGAGGAGGAGGAGGAGGAGGAGACGGAGGCCGGCACGGCGGCTCCGGGGCCTATTGTCGGGTATAGCCAGGACCCCAGGTAAGGGGACCCGGTTAGTGGTAGGGCCCTGGGGCCCCTCAATTGGTCAGATTCACTAAACCAGGTTTGCCGTAACAGGTGTTTTTCGGGTGACGGCGGTTCCGGTTAGTGGAAATGGGACGGGGGAACGCCTCCGGTACCAATCACTAAACCAGGTTCCACTAAACCCAGTTCTGCCAACGCCCGATATTGCATTGGCGCAACGTCGTCAAAAAGGAGGATGCAGAGGAGCACAAGGACAGAGGAGGAGGAGGAGGAGGAGGAGGAGGACAAGTGCTACAGTATGACGCATCAGCGATGTTGCAATGCACCCTCCCTCCAAGTTCTCTCTTAGTAGGTCCCAAATCTACTGTATTGTCATTGCGGGAAGTGGCCCATTGGAAGGTAACCGTCTGAGAATTTTCAATCGTGCCAAAAGGCCGTTTTTCAGGCTTCAACGCCGACGATCAACATGTCTGTGGCGTTCAGACCAGTCCAAATCGTGCCATAACACCACTTCGAACTAGCGTGACTGCTACACTGTTGCGCCCTGACATGTTTTAGTTGCGCCAGGACATAACATCATGGGACTTCGACCGTACGAATCCTTGCAACTGTTGTATGCGTAGCGCTAAAGCGAGAGCCATATTTCGACAAGGATCCGACCTCCACCCGTGAAACTGCTGCGAGCTCCCAAAACGAATTCGCGCGGCGCTGCGGCGCGAGAGCCTCATGTTGCGAAGCACCCGCCTTGCACCCGCGAAGTTGCTGCAAACTTGAGAGTCGAACGCGGGCGGTGCTACAGTCGGGGCCCTGAAGAAGGAACCCTTTTCGTTGGGGAGGGGCTCCGTGTTCCTTAATTGTTTCGCAGCTTGCCTTGGATTTCCCTTAGGTTTTCGACGCGAAATCGAAGTTCAACTTATGGAAAATAGGGGCCTCGTTCCTTATTTAGGGTTCCTTAGGTCAACGCCTCGACTGTAGGGCAAGGGCCACACTTCGAAAAAGACCCGCCGTCCAGCTGTGAAGCTGTTGCACATGCCACGCCGCGCCCCATGGTGGTACATCGCGAGGGCAACTCGGGCGAAAAGCGCCCCGGCCCGCCCTGAGGGCACCGTCAGGGGCTGCGGCAGGGAGGAGTAGCTCCTCCTCCTCCTCCTCCTCCTCCTCCTCCTCCTCCTCCTCCTCCTCCCCCTCCTCCCCCTCCTCCTCATCCACCACCTCCCCCTCCTCCTTCTCCTCCTTCTCCTGCTCCTCCTCCTCCTCCACCTCCTCCTCCTCCTCCTCCTCCTAGTCACCGCCTTCCCCTGCCTTTTGGAGTCGCCGATATGGCCGAGCGCTGTGGCAAGAGCTCTGTCAAGCTATCGGGCCATTTGTTACCGCAGCCGTTGTGGAAACCCTTCGGGGAACACTTGGGGGAGGATGGCGGGGAAGATCAGGAGGAGGAGGCGGAGGGAGCATCTTGGGAGCCTCTGGGGGCACTCTTGGGGCCTCCTGGGACCGTCCTGGGAGCCTATTGGAGGCATCTCGGGGGCCTCATTGGGCCTTATGGGGGCCTTCTCGGGGGCCTCTTTCGCCGTCTTGTCGTCAAAACCTATAGGCAATCAATGATGTTGGCCTCTTCAGGCCGTCAGGAGGCCCTCTTGGGGGCCTCTTGGGCCGTCTTGAGGACCTCTTGGAGGCCTCTTGGGCCATCTTAGAGCCATCTTGAGCCGTCTTGATGGCATCTGACGCCTTCTTGAGCCATCTAGAGCCAGATTGAGCCTCCTGGCCCATCTGACGCCGTCGGAAGCCGTCTTGGGGACATCTCTGGTCCGACTTGGAGCCCTCTTGGGGCGCTCCAGGGCCGTCTTGGAGGCCATCTTGGGCGTCTTGGAGGCCTCTTAGGCCGTCTTGGGGCACTCTTGGGGCCCTCTTGGGGCAGTCTTGGGCCTCTTGGGCGATCGTGGAGCGAACCTTTGGGGCTCTTAGGCCGTCTCGGGCCGTCGGAAGGCCGAACCGAAGCAAATGCCACAATCTTGCAAACCAATGTGACTGTATGAGTTTGGCCTCTTGAGGCCTTCTGCAGGCTCTCTTGGGGGCCTCTTGGGCCGTCTTGGAGACCTCTTGGGCCGTCCTGGGCCATCTTAGAGCCATCTTGAGCCGTCTTGATGGCATCTGACGCCTTC